TTTGGTGAATGGTGATAGACTTGCATCTATTTTCAGTCTTCAACAAGTGGCAAAACAGTTTTTCCAGCACCATTTATTAAGGAGGCTATCTTTCTTCCAGTGAACTTGTTTGGCCCCTTTGTCAAAGGTTAGGTGGCTGAATGTGTTTGTGGTTGTGGTTGTTTCTTCCCGTCTGTTCCATTGATCCTCGGGTCTGTTTTTTAGCCAGTCCCATGTTGATTTTATGACAGTAGCTTTGTAGTATAATTTCAGGTCAGGGATTGTGATTCCATCTGACTTATCCTTGTTGCCCAGGATTGCTTTTGCTCTTCTGGGTCTCTTCTGGTTCCAGATGAATTTTAGGAATGTTTTCTCTAGATCTGTGAGGTATGTTAATGGTATTTTAATGGGACTTGCACTGAATCTGTATAACTATTTTGGTAGTATGGCCATTTTCACAATGTTGGTTCTTCTTATCCATGAACAAGGAATATTTTTCCGTTTACTGAAATCCTCTTCTATCTCTTTTTTCAGAGTACTGTTGTTTTCATTGAATAGGTCTTTTACTTCTTTTGTTAAATTGATTCGTTAATATTTCAGTTTCTTGGATGCTATTGTGAAAGGTATGGTTTCCTTAATTCTCTCTCAGTGTGTTTGTTGTTTATATATAGAAATGCTATTGATTTTTTAGTGTTGACTTTCTATCCAGCTACACTACTGAATTTGTTGATTAGTTAAGGAGTCTTCTGGTGGAGTTTTTGGGGTCTTCCATGTAGAGTATCATGTCATCTGCAAATAGTGATAATTTCACTTCTTCCTTTCCTATCCTTATTCCTTTTATTTCTCTCTCTTGTCTAATTGCTCTGGCTAATGCTTCCAGAACTATGTTGAATACGAGTGGTGGCAGTGGGCATCACTGTCTTGTTCCTGATTTAAAAGTAAAAGCTTTCAGTTTTTGTCCATTTAGTATGATGTTGGCAGTTGGCTTATCATAGTTGGCTTTGATCAGCTTGAGGTAAAGACCATCTGTTCCTATTTTCTGTAGGGATTTTATTCCTTCCTCTCTCTTGAGCTATCTTCCAGCCCCCTTTATTTTTTGAGACAGGATCTCACTAGGCTGCTAATTTGCTTACATTGGGTTCAAATTTCCAATTCTTCTGCTTCAACCTCTCACTGTGCTGAGCACTATTTTCTTTTTTTAACAAATGTCTGGAGAGAGTAGGTTGTCTCTTCTTCCTCATTTCATCTCCTCAGGTGACCACTTTTTTCTTCTGAATGTAACTCTTTGCCCTCGCTGCAGTCACTAGCATCTTCCTTGTTGATAAATCCCAGATTTTCCTCTTTTCCTGAGCCCAACTCCCATGTCCTCTCCTCAGCAGCCCCGTCCACAGTGTTTCTCTGGGGCCTGCTCCGAGCACACTCTCCGGGTTCCCCTCCTCCTGTGGCCCTTGTGTTTCTCACGTCTGCACTTCTCAAGCTCTCATTTCTTCTCCTGTGTGACACTGAGAGGTCCCGTGTTGTTATCTTCAGCTCAATCTATCTTCCTTGAAGTCAGTACAAATCACGGTATACAAATTATGACACGAACATTTCCAAACTTAAAGTTTGCTCATTTGAAAACCTAAACACCTTGAAGGGGTTGGGGAGAACCTAAGCATTTGAAACTCCAAAGCTTTTGTGTGATTTTCCACACGATACTTCTCCGCAGGGGTACCAAGCATCACTACATGAAATGCAGGGAAGGCACATAGCAGACTGTGGTACTCAGGTGCTCCTTCGTGGGAGAGGGGTGGTGGGAAGTCTGAGTGATCTCTGCCAGGAGTGTTGCATCCAATATCCATTCCATACCAGGTGGTGAGCCCAAGCCAATCTGAAGCTCTCCGCTGGCAACTGTCATTGGTCAGGGAGCAACTGTTTTAGCTAAATAACCTGAAGGGAAGGGGTCATATCTCATACCTTTGAGGAGGTTTTCTCTTTTCTCCAGTGGATGTGAATAGGAAAGCATTAGCTAGTGGATTCTTGCAGCCATCTTGAGATCATGAGGAGAGCCATCCTGGAAGCACACAAGCCTTCCACAAAGAAAGGCTAAGCAGAACCAAGGACAGAGCCAGGGTGTGACATCACCGAGCTGCTGACCAATTCACATCAGAGCCCACCCTACTTCTGGCTCCTTGTTACATGAAATATTTCCTTCTTTGGGGGAAGTTATGTGTTACTTGTAGTAGAATACATTCTAGCGTCTGTATCTCAAATTTCCGGTGACACCTGAACTTCAGACCTATGGCTGCAGCTGCCTACCATCCCTTCCTCTTGGATGTTCCACAATGTCTCACCTCCCTAAGTCTAAAACACTTTGCTGTCGTGACCTCCCTTGCTCTGCTCCAGGCTCCCCTCTCCGCTCCATGAGTGCACCACCATCTCCCTGTGGCCCAGATAGTTATCAAATCCCTTGCCTGCTGCCCAGTCCGCCCACCACCATCATCTCTTTCCAAATCCTTCTGCACGTTTACCAGAGCAACCTCTTTTGATTTTGATTTCTATTAGCACCTGTTTACAGTACATAATGACCACATTCATTGTGGGGAGGGGGCTGTGTATAGAACATGACTTAATTCTTTTTCTGTTTGTCTTTTTTATTTTTGACTTTTTTGTCTTTTTGAGACAGGGTCTCGCTATGCAGTTCAGGCTGGCCTTGAGCTCACTTTGTAGCCCAGGCTGGTCTCGCACTCGCAACGATCTTCTTGCCTCTGCCTCCCGAGTGTTGGGATTACAGGCGTGCGCCACCATGCCCGGCCATACCTTGGGTCTTTTTACCCCGCTAAACTTTTCTGAAATGCAGCTCAAGCAGGGTGCTTACCTGTAATCCCAGCACTGTAGGAAGCTGAGGCAGAAGGGTTGAAAGTTTCAGTCCAGCCCAGGGAATTTAAAGACTTAGCAAGAGATTATCTCAAAATAGAAAGTAAAAAAGGTCTGGGGAGGTAGCCCGTTGTGAAGGCCTTGGGGTCACTCTTCAGTACAAAACCCCAAGCAGATCAGAATACTTTGCCCTCTTGATCAAAACTGTTAAGTCTGTTTCTTTTTTTTTTTTCCTTATGAATTCTGGATGTGTTCATGTGGCCTCCCTAGCCCTCCTCGCCAGGCCTCCATTTCTTCTTTCCAGCCTCAGCAGTGTCCCCTGCCTGCACGTTACTCCAGCTGTGTAGATTGCTTCACACACACACACACACACCCCGCGTGCTCTCTCAGCCTCCTCTCCCGATTCTCCCACTGCTGCTCCTTCTCCAGGGCTTGCTGCGATGTCACCTCCCATGCAAAGCCCGGATCCCCTTCAAGACGGGTTAGCAGCTCCTCTCGTTCCCACACCACTGTCTGCTTCCAACACAGTGCCTTCACCAGGCTGGCCTTTTACCTGTCCATCTCCCCACCCCACACAGGAGCTCCTTGAGAGCTGAGGCTCTGACTTATTTCTTGAACCTAGTGTCAACACTGAGTCGGGAAGGAAGCGTTAAATACAAAAGCAGATTTCATCTTGAGGGCAAAGGTCAGATGGAATGGAGCTGGGGTACCATGGAAATGGACACTTAGAGCAGTGTGGGACTGGAGATGGTAACAATCAGATTTGCGGTCTATGCAGATTGAATAGAGTTGGATGGATGCCCAGGTGTGGTGGCATACTCCTGTAATCCTAGCACTCGGGAGGCTGAGGCAGGAGGATCGCTGAGAGTTCGAGACCAGCCTGGGCTAGAGTGAGCTCAAGGCCATCCTCAACTGTATAGTGAGACCTTGTCTCAAAAAGACAAAAAAAAAAAAAAAAAACACCCCAGAATTGAAAAAAAGAGTTGAATGGATGGCAGCTTAAGGTCTGGGACAGAAACCTTTGTTGTTAGCTAATGTGACCCAGGCAAGAGATGATGGTGGGCTCAGCTGGGGCAGTAGTGGTGGAGATGGGAGAACCACACAAGTTTTTTTTGAGGCAGGGTCTCTCTCTGTAGTGCAGTGGCCATGAACTCACAGCAGTGCTCTTGCCTCAGCCTCCCAAGTGCTGGGGTTACAGGCGTGCACCACCACACCTGGCTGAGAACCACACAACCTTGAAAGATAAGTAAGGAGCAGATGGTGGGAAAAGGCGGGGCTATAGCTCAGTGGGAAAGCCCTTGCCTAGTGCACATGAGGCCCTGGGTTTGATCCCTAGCACAGAAGGAGGAGGAGAAGGAGGAGAGAATTGGAAGCAAGAAAAGAAATGTGTAAGTGTGTAAGGTGGGCGGATTCTAATTTGACAAGCGGGGCCCCAGTGGCACCTTCTTCAGGAGAGGAGGATCCAGAAGGAAGATCGTGATTGCAGATGGAGAGAGGGTAAGGAGCTCGGTTTGGGACATGCTGAATTGGAGCGGCCTATGGGACACCCAGCAGACAGCTGGACATTCGGTCACAGCTGCAGCGGGGACAGAAGGCGAGAAGGAATGCACAGAGGTAGGAGAAAGCCCAGCAGGAAACGCAGAAGTCACGAATGCGAGTGGGAGGTGAAGCGACAGAGGGAAAGGGAGAACACTGCTGGGGCTCTGTGCCCCAGACCCAGCCCAGACACAAGCCCTCCAGACAGGTTTCTCTCCACGGCAGTTTATTTGACTCCAAAGGGAAACTCAGACTCCAGCCCACCCCACCCCACCCCACCCATCAAGGGACTCTGGCTGCAGCAGACTTGTCCTGAGGGTCACAGGCCTCTTTATCAGGGAACAAAGGAAAGCATCTGGGTCACGGCAGAGTGTTAGCTACTTGGCCATGGGCCAGAGAGGGGGGCCTGGGGCCAGCCCCTGGGCACATGCAATGGGAGGGCAGGGAAGGCAGTTCAGGGCAGGTGTGAGGCTTTGGCTTACAGCAGGCCTAGGGCAGGGGCAGGCAGCTCCCACCCAAGGGGTTCAGTAGCTGTGAGTGGAAGACTTGTCCAGCTCACTGTGCTGCTCCTTCTGGCACTCCGTCACCACCTGCTGGGGAGCAAGGACCGCAGGCTGAGGTTTCAGCACCGCCCTTCTGTGTCCCCCTGCAGGGCAAAACCAGCAGAGGCTCCGATTTATCCACCCACCTTCTCTGGTTTCCCATCCACCCCACAGCACAGTGAGATCTGCAGCCAGGCTGGGAAGGAGAGCAACAAGGCAAAAGGTGCGGGGGCAGGGGCTCACCTCCCCATCCCGGGTCTCGATGGTCCTGATCAGAACCATCTTCCTGCTGTGGCTGTCCTGGGATGGCTCCACCTCAGGCACTGGAGAGAGCAGTGTGACAGGCAGAAGGGCAAAGGTGAGAGTTCTCTTTTTTCAGGCACCCACTCCCCGGGGCAGCAGATGGGCGGAGCATGAGGAGCAGGGGCCCACCTAGGCTGGGCTCCCTCAGTAGTCAGAGGAAGAAGAGCCCAACTAGGGCAGAAATGGACATGGGGCGCACAGGCTGGAAGCAAACGTGGAGAACTCACCAGTTGTCTTCATACTTAAGGAGGCAAAGGAATGGACGGGCACCGAGATCCTGCAGGCGAAGCGTGCCGTCGGCCCCTCTGCCAAGGCCACCCCTCCCCACACCCCCGGTGCCCACGCCTGCCTCCCCCCAGCAGCGCCGCTCCCCACCGGCTCTCCTCGCCCTCCAGCAGCTTCCGGTAGGTGGCGATCTCGATGTCCAGGGCCATCTTGACGTTGAGCAGCTCCTGGTACTCGCGCAGGTGCCGAGCCATCTCCTCCTTGAGCTGCCGCAGCTCCTCCTCCAGCCGCGCGGCGCCGGCCTGGTATCCGCCCGCCTCCAGGGCGAACTGCTCCTCCAGCTCCCGCAGCTGCCGGAGCAGCGCCTCGTTCTGGCGGGGACAGGACGGGGTCAGGCGGGGAAGCCCGCCCCGTGGGCGCTGCCCGGGGCGCCCACCCCGGCGCTCACCGTGCCGCGCAGCCCGTCCACCTCGCAGGTCAGACTCTGGATCTGCCGTCGAGACTCGTTCATCTCCTGCTTGGCCTGGCGCAGGGCCTCGTGGTTGCGGTTGGCGGCATCGGAGAGGTCCGCGTACTGCAGGGCGGGGCCACTCGGGATGCAGCGGGCCGGCCGCGACTCCGCCCCGCCGCGCGGCCCCCCGCCCCGCCGCGCTCGCCCTCGGCGCGCACCTTGGACTTGTACCACTCCTCGGCCTCCTGCAGGTTCTTCGCCGCGATGCTCTCGTACTGCGCGCGAATGTCCCTCAGCGCCGCGGTCAGCTCGGGCTTCACCGTGGCCTCGACTTCCACGTGCTGCGCCTGCTGGCTCTCCACGCTCACCTGCAGGTCTCGAAGCTCCTGCAGCCAGGGCAGGCGAAGGGTGAGCGCCGCGCGGGGTGGGCAGCGCAAAGCACGCGGCGCGCAGTGCACGCGCCAACGGCGAAGAAACGCTGGCGCGGAGCTGGCGCGGGGCCGGGGCGCCCGACGCCG